TTTATAAATAATATCTCTTTGGATTTGAGACTTTAGTCTTTGCAACTTTACAGATCTTCTTTATGCACCAAGAGCTTGTAACACTCCAAAGAGAAAGGAAAAATTGAAATCGCATCATATGACCCCTTTTAAACTATTTTGAAAATTATATAAAAGTTTTTCAAACCATATGAAACCAACATGAATCCAAACTGGGCACAACTAGATTGTTAAAATATTTTTCTTCCTTTATGAACATCGTGAACATTCCCATTTGTCAGTGACCAATTTGCATATGCAATTACGTACCTAATCAATCTGTTTGAATGAAACAATCAAATATCATAAACCACTGTTGCATACTCTCCTTATCAGACTACTTTGTAACCCATAAGAAGGCTTTATAGAAAATCAGGTCATATATCCTGCCTTGGAATGAAAAGTAACCATTATTTAACAGGGATACACAGGGTGTCAAGCTTGATTTTGTCAGCTGTCAATTCGAATTCAATGTAAATGAGATTAGAGTATAATCATCATTGTCCTTTCACTGTCACCTTGAGTTCTAAGCTGTTTTAAATGTTTGTTATAATGTTTTCCAGGTCTGGACTTTGTTCAGGGGCGCATTGTTGGCGGATATACCCCCTCGCCAAATTCAATCAAATACATCGTGTCGTTACAGAGCTCGAAGGGCCAGCACTTCTGTGGTGGATCTCTGGTCCACAAATACTGGGTGCTTACAGCCGCCCATTGCAATATTGGGTGCGTGATTTTTCACCTTTTCTTTAAATAAATTCTCTACCTAACAGGCTGTTTATGAGACTTACATGATACACAGTATGGCAGGAAGCTTGATGGCCAAGTCCGTGGGTGAGTCGAACGCCAGAGTTAAGCAGACAGGCACTCAGGAGGCGCGCTAACCTTGACCCGTCATCACAGTGTGGGACTTAATGAATGCTGGCTTATCTGCTGCTTGGCACAGCTGAGGCTGCTAACAGCGAGAAATACTGTCATTCAATTCATGTCCTCTACAAAGAGTCACTGTGTATAACAAGTGATGTCAAGAAATCAGATATCAAGCTTATAACTAGGATCTGGACAACTCTTTCTTTCTTTATTTATTCACATTGTATTGGAGTGCTTTAGTATGGTGGTGCTAGAAAATCATTCCATGTTTTTTTCAGAGTCTTGACTGTATTTTTACTTGTCTTTAAGGATGGATCAGATGATGGTGGTGGTTGGAGACTATACTTTAGGTGCTTATGAGGGGACAGAGCAGTACTCCAAGCCTCTGTCGCTTGTCCCGCACCCTCAGTACAACAGCAGCACCACTAATGCAGATATCATGCTCATAAAGGTACGGCACTCTGGTTCTTTGCCTCTTATAGTTATACACTCACTCAAGAGTCACTCACTCACTTACGAGTGATATATTTAATACTGAATATATTACTTTCAAGTAAGTGAGTGTATAACTATAAGAAAGTTTTGTCTTGTTGTTTTTTTGCTTTCTATTGTAATGTACAGCACTTTGGAGCTACGGTGTAGCCAGTAATTGTGCTATATAAATAAACGAAAGTATTGGATGCTTGAATCTGGTCAATTATGGTATTCATGGCTTCAATTATGACAATCTAACCTAATCCAACCATAAAGAAACAACATAGAAAAAAATAAATAAATGCATTAAAATATTTTCAAAACATTAAGTTCTGATCGTCTAGTAGGAAGTTATTTTACCGACTGGCTATACATTATCCCTTACATAATTAAACTTTTCTGAACCTGTTGGTCAACCAATCAGAGTCTAGTATTCAAATTATATAACATTTAGTTCCAGTCCTTGAATTTGATTGGCTAAGCTGTGTTCCAGAAGTGCTCATATGAGTCCAACAATGCTGGAACTTGACATCATTCGGTCAGGCTGCATCTGCAAATGCATACTCTCTAAACAGGTACTTCTTTTGAATGAGTAATTACTTCATGATCGTTAAAAAATACAATAATAAATTTGAATGCAGCCTAAGTCTTGAATCTTTGAATCATTCATTCAACTGATTTGTTCTAAATCACTGATTCATTCAGTAAAAAAGCAGTTATTATAACACAGACTTGCTGTGTCTGAATATGCCTACTTCTCTACTATAAAGTTGCCTTTTCAGTATGTGAAAGGAGTAGTATGTCTGAATTCACAGTATTCATAAAACAGTATGCAAAAACTACCCAGAAGACCTAATACTTTTGCAGAGGTTATGAAGTGTGCATTCAGTGGACGCTTTAATATCCGTGAGGCCATGGGTGAGGATTTGTGAATGGCAGTGAAGCACTGCAACTGACACTGTAGATCATATGACACTGACAACATGACAAATGTAGTAAATCTGGATTTCATTCACACGCATTTATATTATATAGAACATACTTTTTTAATGGTCATGAAGTAAGTACTTGTTCAAAAGAAGTACCTACTCGCATATACGATATCCTTCAAAAATTAGTCATTGAATCATTCATTCAACAGATTTGTTCAAAACACTGATTCATAAAGGAACAAAATGCTGCTATTGTTTGCTGCTCAGAAACACGATGGATTCTGGTTTTAACATAAGTTTCTCTGACGGAGCAAAAATACATGAACAACTGGATAATATTACACTGAAATAGTTTGGTGTAAAAAAAAATTTCACTCAGAAATTGCATTCACACTTTAGTTTGGGGACCAATTCTTATTATTTACCAACTATTAAAGGGATAGTTCACCCAAAAATGAAAATGCAGTCATGAATTACTCACCCTCATGTCGTTCCAAACCCGAAAACCTTTGTTCATCTTCGGAACACAAATGAAGATATTTTAGATGAAATCCGAGAGCTTACTGACCCTCCATAGACAGCAACACAACTGAAACGTTTTATGGCCCAGAAAGGTAGTAAGGACATCGTTAAAATAGTCCATGTGACATCAGTGGGTCAACCTTAATTTTATGAACCTACGAGAATTATTTTTGTGTGCAAAGAAAACAAAAATAACACAAAAATAAGTAACCACTGATTGACTATTTTAACTATATCCTTACTACCTTTCTGGGCCATAAAACGTTTCAGTTGTGTTGCTGTCTATGGAGGGTCAGAAAGTTTTTGTAAAACACATTGTATTAAACATAACATTATGTTACAATTAGAAAGATTTGTTAATTTTTCATATTCTTGTAAAACGCACTCTAATAATCTTTATTTACTACTTCTAAAATGTAAGTTATTTAATATTGAGTTCGATACAGTTAGATGATGCTTTTATATTGACCCTAATCTGTATATCTGTCTCTGGATGTTGGCTCTTTCAGCTTAGTGCGCCCATAGAGCTCAACAGGTATGTGTCCCTCGCCCCGCTCCCCAAACAGAACGCAGGGCTGCTGGCGGGCAGGATGTGCCGGGTTTCCGGGTGGGGCTCCACCAGCCACAGCGGAGGTCTGACGCCCCTCACCCTGCGTACGGTCAGACTCCCCATCGTCTCCACCTCCAAGTGCAACAGCAGTAACTCCTTCAGCGGAAACATCACAACAAACATGATATGCGCGGGGTCCAGCACAGGAGGAAAAGACGCGTGTAAGGTACTGTGGAAAAGTACTTGACAATGGCCAGCTGACATTCTCCATTATCCAAATGCTCTACAAGGATGTTGGCTTTCTGATGTTCCCAGGGGGACTCTGGAGGGCCGCTGGTGTGTGATGGACGTGTTTACGGCCTGGTCTCTTGGGGAAATGGCTGTGGAGATCCTAGGTTTCCAGGGGTCTATACGGCCGTGTCCAGGTTCCGCAGGTGGATTGACCAGACCATATACAGCCCATTTTCAAGATGCCTTAAGTCAGCTGGTCTTTTCAGCAGGGAAGACTAAACTTGTGTGTGTTTTCTCCAATGCTTGCATTCATATAATGCACAAACACTATTGTTCAAAGATGGGCACCTTTGTCCCCTATAATACATTTCACGTTCTCAGCAGATTATTTAATTTGTCCATTACCAATGTCCTACAGTGAATATTCTTTCATTATTGTCAACATTTTCACCACATTTTAAATGATTCTGTGGTTCATTCCACACCATTATGTGGTGGAAAAAACAGTGATAGAATATATATTACACTCTAAAAAATGCTGGGTTGTTTCAACCCAACTTTGGGTCAAATATGGACTAACCCAGCTGTTGGGTTAAATTTTTACATTAAATGTTTAACCCAAAAGTTGGGTTAGTTCATATTTGACACAAAGTTCGGTTGAAACAACCCAGCATTTTTTAGAGTGTATATTTTAAACATTTTCCTAATAAAATATCCCCTTTGTCTTGCTTCTAGCATTTTATGTATACTACATACCTATATAGTTTTAAGAAATTAATACTTTTATTCAGTAAGCACGCATTCAATTAATCAAAACCAACAGAAAAGACATTTAAATTTAGTTACAAACGATTTATATTCATATAAATGCTTTTGGACTTTCTGTTAATCAAAATATCCTGAAAAAAAAATCAGTTTCCACAAAAATATTAAGCAGTGATTAAACCGCAAATTAATCAACACTGATAATAATCAGTGAAATGTTTCTTGAGCAGCAAATCAGCATATTAGAATGATTTCTGAAAGATCATGTGACACTGAAGACTGGAGTATAATGATGCTGAAAATTCAGCTTTGCATAACAGGAATAAATTACATTTGAAAATGTATTCAAATAGAAAACATCATCTTAAATTGCAATAATATTTCACAATAATCAAATGAATGCAGCCTTGGTAAGCGTAAGAGACTTCTTTTAAAAACATTCAAAAATCTTAAAGACCCCAAACTTTTGAAAGGTAGTGTAAAAGTGTCAAAGTTGAAGAAACACCCATAAATGAAAGCAAATGAATCCAAATCTAATGTGAAGCCTCTTACAACTACAATACACATTCAAACTCTAAAATAATGTGATTAATATGCATGATAAGTGCACAAAAATATCTGACAGTGATGTTGACTGATCATTACATGTTTTAATATCAGTTAGCAGCTAGATGTTGTGCATATAGTTGTAGTAATAAACAGTCGCCCTTTAAATTGCTTATTTACAAGGGAATTACCCGAAAAGGTTTCACTCAAAATATCCTCCTTTAACATTCTCAAACGGATATTAAATGCAGAAAAATTGCCTTTGTTTAGTTCAGTTGATGTGACCGGGAAGCCATAAAAAGATTTGACGTTGTACCGTACTTGCAACAATGGATGTTTGCACATCTAATAGGACTGGGTGTGTCTGCAATTACTCTTCTCTGAAGGTGGCATTAGTTCCAGGAGCTTTTGGTTTCATTGCCTGCACATGACACCACGTGTAAGATGATCGCTGCACGAACTACACGCAATGATTCGTAGCAGTTTATGTGTGTATCATATGAAAGCATCCCAAAAGCTCAGTTTAGATAATAACATCTTTTATGTGTCTGGAGCATCATTCATTACTTACATAATTAAAAACAATAGGTAACATTAAGCATAAAGGTTAAAGCAACCAACAACAAAGGTCATTTGGGAATAATGACGTTTTTGAGGAGGGCTGCTAACATGTTTGGCAGTAAAGGAGTAATCTGATGGATGTCTGAATAGAGTTTCATGGGAAATTAATCGCAGAACAGCATGTTGCCACAGGGAAAGGCATTGTGAATGAATATGCCACACAAAAATAAGTAAATATTAAGAACAATGCTAATTCCACGTGCCAGGACAAGCAGAACTTGTGATTGACGTGATACTTATTGTAAATATTTTTTTTATTAACCTACCAAGATTCATTTTATTATCTGTACCATAAAATATTTTGTTTTTTAAGATCTTTATGTGGTTATTGAGGTTTACAGCTGGTGGAAATGGGTCACAGTTTTGTTCTGAGTTACGTAATCAGATTACTTTTTTCAAGTAACTAAAGTAACACATTACTTTTTCATTTACAAAAAACTATCTTGAGTTACTTTTTCAAACCGGTTTCAAAAATCGGATGGTGTGCATACTATTTTGGTGACGAAATTTGTGTCACGCACACTGTGTGCGGACCGTCATGTACGCATAAAAACCAAAGTATACTTTGGCCTTTATTCATTTTGGTGTGAAAGGACATTTACCAAAAATAGACATTTTTTACATTCAAATCAAACAAGTAAGCCCATCCCGGATGAGAAAAAGTAACTTAATGCATTACTTTACATAAAAAGTAACGGCTCGGCACGGTTTGCGTTTCCACCATAGACTGTATAAAAACATGGACGTAGTGTCCGTGACGGCACCCGTAGATTTCCGAAGAGAGTTTTTGAAGCTCAAAATTGGGCGGAGCGGGCCGTCGCCATCTTGGCAGCGTGTCATCGCGCGTCACTATCAATAATCGAAAATGGACAAAGAGGCGGGAGCTGGTTGCTGAAACCACGCCCACCTAGCTCGATGGCGGTGATAGCAGCGGTTAGTATCGCTTTAGAGTGGGCGGGATTATTCACATGTCGTTAGTTGCGCCGCCTATACTGCCGCCACTCCTGAAAAACTTTTTCATTCCGCATCGCCCCTTCAAGCTTCCGCTGGATCCGCTCCTCTGCTATCAACGAGAGGAACGTCTATACTTCCTCAACAGACAACGAAACACCCACTTTTTGGTTGTTAAAAAGGGTGAGCTCGTTCAAAACAGTTGCGTTCGATCCTTCGCTGGAAAAATCGCAATTTGATATTTTCCCCCCAAATCGCACAGCCCTAGTGGAAACCCCCCCAAAAGTGAACCGTACCAAGCCGTACCATGCAGTGGAAAAGAGGCCTAAGTAACGCTATAAGTTACTTTTTTAGGGAGTGACGCAATATTGTAATGCATTACTTTTTAAAGTAACTTTTCCCAACACTGTTGGGCACACCAAATATGGCCGTGTAACAATATGGGGAAAAAAATCCCCCAAAAGTACAAAATTATTCAGTCAAAATCAGTCAATTTTAGTCCAATACGATAACATTAGCTAGTATTTTCAGGACAAAATAATCCTCTTTGGGTGAAAATGGCTGGAAACACAACATGAGGGTTAAAACTGAAGATGAAACGCATCCTGTATCTTTGGATTCAGTCACACTCTCAGAACCAGCTGTAGTCTGTCAACACATCATTTCCGACCACGCTCAGCTCATCTCCACCATTCCTTCCAGTATTAAACTGTCTGAAGCCTAAGCATTCAAATGACCTCTCTCGAAGGAAACAGGCTGGTTTTTAGCAAACCGAGACAAAGCTCAATTGGCTCTGTGTGTGTTTCCCATTTCAGCTATTCAGATCAGATAGAATGGAACAAAATGGCCTCTCATTCACAGATGGGAGGAAGCAGTGCACCTCGCTTCCATCCCGCTCGTTTCTGCAGTGGAGTGACAATGTCTGCTGCTCAATCCTGGAAAGGTTATGACTGTGCCTGGTGCAGAAGATTATGCTCTCAAAATCTTGGGCAGAGAAGCAAACCCCCTCAGCTCATATATCCAGATTGTGCCAGTATGAGTTCAGCATCACTCCAGCTTCTGATATTATTACAAAATGAAAACCTGTACACAGAGGGGAAAAACATCCCATATTGCGTTCTCTTGTGAATCACAGCCATGTTTTAATATCTTATTCTGTTTGGTTGGGGTTTAACTGAAAAAAGCATGTGATAAGGATAAAATAACTGAATAAAATAACAGATTGCTACAACTAAGATATGAGGTCTAACAAAATGTAATTGGCTGATAGAGTCAGTGCTTATTTAATTTACACAGCCATGTGCCTTAGCCCTTTAACTGTTTTCTTAACTGGTATTTTGGTAGCAAGATAAAGTGTAAAAACACTGATAAACTCTCTGTTTCACTACAGTGGAAACCATCTGATATATATAATCACAGGTGATGAAATTTGTTGCATACACAGTTAATTTATTTGTAAAGTTCAGCTCTTGGATCGTCTACAAATGAGCAAACAATGTATTACATAAGGGAGACATCCAAAATGTGCAGTACTTCAGGATTTCAGGATTGAGATACACTATAACAATAAGCCGGAACATAAGCATTAGGTCTTTGTTGCAAACCATGAGTGCTCATATGAAAGCGACTGGAATAAATTAAGAGGATTTTCTTAAAAAAAAGAAATTAAATCTGTATATTAATATTAATTCAGTCCCTTATATGTGTTTTATATACTATAATGGCTTTTCTTCATTCGTATATTCACCCTAACTGAATTTATGGTTCACCTTCTTTCATGAAGTGAATGAAAATAAGGCTAAACTAGTTATTAATAATAATAATAATAATTTCCCCCCAAACTTTGTTTTTGGACTTTATATATAAAAGTATATATATATACATATATATATATATATATATATATATAAATAAATAATATATATAAAATTTGAATAGATTTTGACGCCAAATTTAGATTCTCGTGATTATGTCGCAAGGTTAAGGTGTCACACATTTTTTTTTTAAGTTTTACTTGGAAAAATATGTTTGAAGACATTATAATGATTTTGTACACTCAGAGTCATTAAATCAGAAATTTTGTATAAAATGTTATAAACGTTATCTGAAATTGTATGAAATCAACATGAGTACAAATATCACGTTTAATAGATTGCAAATGTGCTTTAAACTATAATTACATAATAAAAGATTTATCATCTCGGACATCTTTATTTGTCAATGACACAAGGAAACATTTTTTTTTTCCATGTACCCAAGATTAATATTGGCGATTGCTGCAATGAAAGAGCTGGAGAGGAAGCCCGCGCCTCAGTGACGTTCATTCCCCATCAGGGATCTTTGTTTTGCATCGCTTCCCAATTTGCATTTGTTTCTCAGGTTTTCCATACGACGCTCCAGCCGCCGAGAGCGCAAATAAGGCGCATTCCTCCGCGAGCGGCCATTCGCATCTCCAGCATTCCCGACGTTGGGAAATTTGGAGTAATTCGAGCTGAACGCAGGAAATCACATGCATTCGCCCCGCGTCCTCGACACCCACTCGCGGAGACACGTGCGATAGAGGTAAACAGCCGAGAGATTCGCTCCACAAAATTCGCCTCGCGCTATCGATTCAACCGCAGATCAAGTAGCCGCTGTCAGTTCATACAGCATGTCGGATGTATTACCGTATAACGAGGACAAAATGACTCATTATGGCAACGACGGGGACGAGGAACACCTTTCCTTCACCTGCCGCCTCCAAGACACCAACAACTTTTTCGGTGACAACCAGAATAAACGACCACCAAAGCTCGGGCAGATCGGGAGAAGCAAAAGAGGTAACGGGCAAAGCCTTTCTTCATTACACGAACAAAATGAGTCGCTTGTTACGGGCGCAGATGATGCGAAATTCCATGTTGCGCTTCCCGGTTATGCCTTTACGCACGAAAATAGCGCGTGTCGAATGATTTCACGTGCGGTATAATCAGTTTCCTCGCGCTTTGAGCTTAAACTGTCTGTTTTCCGCTTCTCGAATAGACAGCGATTAGGATACAGTGATGTATTGCGCCATTTCGGATGTATTAAAATTCATGGCAACATGGAATCTCTATCTTTGTGCCTGTGCGCTACGCAATAGAGGATCTGTGAGTTGGTCTCTCATCATAACCCTAGTGTCTCTGTTCACTGACAGTCATTGAAGAAGACAACGATGGCCAAGCACTGGACAAGAGCACAGAGAAGTCCTCGTCGGCGTGAACGGACCCAAAGACTCTTAACCTCTCTGATGTGTATATCCAAAGACGTTGTGAAGAGGCACTCTGGAGACAAGCACTCCACACATTCTCCTCTCGATCTCCCAAACTCCATTGTCCAGGGTTTACAGCGGGGCTGACTGAACCAGCGGCCCAGGGGCTTGAAGGAATACTGTGTTTTCCAAACTATACTCCGAGATATGTGTGCAATGACAGGGTTTGGTCTCATTAAAGAGACGGACTCTATTTTTGTTGTTGGTTCTAATGAAGCAATTCCATAGACTGAGCTGAGCAAACAATACCATTAACATCAAACCAGTATCTTCCCGCTTAACCCAGTAGCCTACTGGTGGTGTTAATGGTGTATACTAGCAATGTCGACTTTTTCTTCCAGAGTGGACCTCCAAAGAGGTTCCACTGTGTATGTAAAAAACAAAACAAAAGGCTATTTATTAAATCTTTGGATACATATTTTGCAGTGTTGACGGTTGAGCAACCGTTGTATATGGAACGATGACGAGAAGTGACTTTTGCTTTCGATCAATGTTTTGTATGTAGCTTAACCGTGATTCTCGTGACCTGCTTCGTTTCATTTCATTCATCCGATGTTCGGTTCGATCTGGAACGTCAGTTTACGGACAGTAACCTTCTTATCGTAAAGCATATTAACTGTAGATGTGCCAAATTGATCCTGACAAGAAACGTATCTTTCTGTGCTTTCTTCACGTGCACAGGTTTATTACTATTAGGTGGTCATGTTTACAGGGCTCTTTCATACTACTTGTGATGTATTCTAGTTATGCATGACGAACCTCAAGACCTCAAGAACGTCTTCTTGAATATATTACGTATTTATCTCACAGAACATTTCTACAGAATATCTGTTATAATAAAGATTTTGAGAAACATTCAAAGAGACGCCGCTCGTTTTTCCCCTCCCCCTGACACATCTCTAATGCTCCGTTTAGCCCGGTTTAATCTGTGCGCGAGCTCAAATCCAGGGGACGTGACATTTCCGGCTCTGCCACAAGCTTTAAATGATTCATGGTTTGGGATGAGCGTTGTCAAAGCGCACCATTTGAACTCCAGTCCGCTGAGGAATCACAGCAAATATTATCTGCAGACTGTACGAGGGAGTTTTCAAGAGCTTCTCCTGCCAGTCTGGAGGTAACGGTTATTAGAAACGCTGGCTGGATGGATGGGCTGCCATGGAAACAGATTCGACCCTCCTGAAATTTCCATTGTGTCCACTAGGGAAAGCACAGCAGAGGATCTGACAACGTGGAGGAACATTACAACTTTTTAGACAACATTAAAACTGCGTCCATAAATTATATTGTGTCGCTGTGGCACTAATGCAGCACTAAGCCCTATATACTAGGCTTGTCTTATACAAGTTATCCATAGTGCCTTTTACCCATTCAGCACTATTCCAAAATTATAAGGCATCCTAAAAGAGGCATTTGAGGACACTCGCTCCAGTTGGAGACAGAGACGTTTCCTAAAAAGCGAAAAGCAGTCTGAGGTTGGTGAGTTCAGATTGTGACATCATGCGTTTAAAAAATGTCACAAATCCCAGGAGAAGACTGTAGGATGTGGATGTCAGCCGAATAACGTTAGCTCACGTCAGAACGCATTATGTAACGCACAAGGGAAGTCGGCGCTGTGTGGTGGCAAAGCCTGGTGTGTGTTTGGTAGAGACATGCAAATAATCTGGCTCCTGCTGCAATTTGCATTTTGCTTGGGTTTCGGCGGGGGGCTCCGGGCTTGGGTTTCATGGGAGTGCCCCGACCAAAGACAATAGGACTCACACATGTTAAAATGGATGCCTGCAGAGGCATGATCAGAATAGGGAAATTGTGTGGTGGCTTTGGAAGTGGAAGCTGTGGAAGGTTTCTGCAATTCTGAGAATTTCTGGACGGGTTGCTGTAATTAGTCGAGTATGAAAAGAACTATTTGGAATGTTTGAGCTGCTGACGTAGATTGTTCAGAGGCTGAATTGAACTTTCTCATTTGTTTTTATGCTAATTGAACAACTTTTTTTTTTATCCATGTTTGTTATCTGTCACCATAGTGCTGAGCAGTGCTAATCAGTCAGTATAACCACCAATATAAGTCATTATGTGAAACACTAGTCAAAGTCTTCAAAATGAAGCGAATAAATAATTTAATAAAACAATAATTTAATAAATAAATAAGTTAATAAATAAACAGTTATATATATATATATTTACATAATAAAATAATATATATAACCATTTTTGAACATTAAATCTGTCTATTATTATCTGTTATTATCTAATTATCTATCTATACATATGCATACAATTATCTATGTGTAATTATATA